ATGCATTTCGTTCCAAAAAAGAAGTTAGAATTAACAAAAGGATTCCCAAGCAGAACTGGGGCGAGGATCAGTGGCCAGTAGATTCCCTGGCAGAGCGAGGAAGAGGGTCAGTAAGTGGTCAGTGGTCAGTGGTTGATTCTTTTATAATATACGTATTGTTTTTGATGCCTGCAAGTACAACTGATGAGTGCTCTGACCTCGAGAATGACCTTCTCTTTTCAATTAAACATTCCCTCCTCCCCTCCCCAAACCTCCTTTCATCCACTATACTTTTTGTTTAGTTCAGTATGAGATATGTATGAATGGTTCGTGTGAATGAGTTCGATGTAGCAGCAGGGGGAAGATGGATATGCATGCTCATGAAGGTCAAGTAACCATAAGAGGTGGAGAAGTGGAAGGAAGTAATGGAAGGTGAGAAGAAAGGTGGTATTGTGTGTTTGACAATATCCGGACCAGTTCAAGGTCACACAAGGTGAGTGCCAGTGCAAATATTAGGTAAAAAGGCAGAGAGGGGGAGAGGATAGGGATTATCCGTTCGCGCAGTACTGCGATTGGGATTTAGGAGCAAGGAAAAATGACTTTTTCCCCCTCAGTCTGATGTCCTGTAATTTATACATTGATAATATGTCATACAAAATTCTGAGTACTTTATTCTGAGAATGTGATCTTATTATTAAAAAAATTATTAAAAAAATCAGTTTAAAATTTTTTTCCCTCAAAATTCAAGTTACTCAGATTAGAATAACATGGGAGGGTCACTAAGTTTATAAGGGTCACTTAGTTTATAAGGGTCACTAAGATTAATTTAAAATAGAAAGGAAGTAACCGAAATATTGAATTTAAAATGCATATAATTGTGGAATGAAGGAAAAAAAGAAGCAAACATTAGCACTACTCACATCGCCTGGAATATCTGGAAAAACAAAAATTGTTAATTCATAGTCTGGTACACCATCCGTTTTTGCTATTTGAGTTGCTTTGACCACTGCTGCTCCGCTTGCTGACCAGCCTGACCGCAATGCTAATGTCCATTTCGTTTTCTGAACCGATTACTGGTTCAAAAGTTCAATCGATAGAACCACTTGGTGTCGTGAAATTTCGAAAAAACTATTATTTTCATAATAAACATTGGTCCAGTTTGACCGGTACTTGGCATACCTTCGTTTTCGAGATATCTGTCCTCTGAGTGTGTTTGTGTATGTGTGTTTTTGTGTGTGTTTGTGTTTGTGTGTGTGTGTTTGCGTGTGTGTTTGCGTGTGTGTTTGTGTGTATGTATGTGTGTGTAAGTGTGTGTGCCATCAAAATTTTGTCCTGAAAACTAGAATCAGTTAAAATGATGGAGAAACACTCAAATTTTGGCATACCTCTAATGTATGTACGAGTAATTGCTTTAGTTCTTGTGCATCGATCTCGAG